GTGGAGTTGCCTCACAATGGCGATGAATTTTGGTGGGCAACCAAAACGGCTGAGGGACCACCAGAGGGCTTCACTGTTGACCAAGTCGAAGGCCTTGGTTAGATCGATGAAAGCCAAGTTGAGGTCATGACACTGTTCTCTGCACTTTTCCTGTATCTGGCGGGCAACAAAGATCATGTCAGTGGTGCCACGTGATGGTCTAAAACCACATTGAGATTCTGGGAGGAAGTTTTCCGCCTCAGGTAGTAATCTGTTTAGGAGGATTCGGGCGATAATCTTGCCAGCTGTGGACAGCAGTGAGATCCCACGGGAGTTGCCACAGTGTGACTGGTCTCCCTTGTTCCTTAAAAGCTTGAGGGATTTCCTCCCTTTCCCATATATTCTCCAGGAGAGAGTGGAGACGGCTGGTAAGTAGAGGCCCTCTGCTTTATACACCTCGACTGGGATTCCATCAGGCCCTGAGGCTTTGTTATTATTTATCTGTTTGATGGCAGTAGCTACCTCATCCAGGGATGGAGGATAGCTGAAATGGGTCAACTCTGGATGCTGAGGGACCTACTGGGTAGTCAGGACATCCACATCGGTGCTTCGGTTGAGCAATGAATGATAGTGCTCCCTCCAGCACTGAAGAAGGCCTTCATCGTCTATAATTATGGAGTTACCATCTGGTGAGTGGAGGGGAGCTGCACCATGAGTGACTGGCCCATAAAATGTTTTAGTGGAATTGAAAAATTGGTGCATCTTGTGTTGATCTGCAAATTTTTTTGTTTCACATGCTTTATTTTTAAACCAGTCGTTCTATAGGGTGCGAAGTTCCCGCTGGTCCACCACTTTCTTCTTGTGGAAGGTATCAGCTTTGGTCCGAGACTGAGGGTTGTTCTGCCAGCCAGTTAAAGCAGCACGTTTATGAGTATTTTAATTGCCGGGTATATTACTGCCTAGTATATACCACCATACACAACACACCACCAAACACAATATATCACCATACACAATATTCACCACCATACACAATATACACCACCATACACAATACACCACCACACACAATACACCACCAATCACAATACACCACCAATCACAATACACCACCACACACAATACACCACCATACACAATACACCACCGCACACAATACACCATACACAATACACCACCAATCACAATACACCGTCCATTACAGCTCGCCAATGTCGCCCCAGTGTTGGCGAGTAAATAAGAGTAAATAATATGACATTTACAACTTAAGTAACATAACTCAGCATTTACATTACGGTGTGGTGCCAGGGTGTAAAATGTGGCGGCTGGATGTTGCCTTGTCACGAACACCCACCGTAATCAATGACAACATGTGTGTATTTTTGTATGTATGTATGTATGTATGTATGTATGAATGTACTGTATGTATGTATGTACCAACTAATATTATATGTAAGTGATGATAATAATAATAACAATAATAATAATAATAATAATAATAATAATAAAATTGTTGTCAAAAATTATAATGAAAAAATCGTACTCTCTCTCTCTCTCTCTCTCTCTCTCTCTCTCTCGCTCTCTCTCTCTCTCTCTCTCTCTCACCCAGAGAAGGTGAGGGGAAGAGCCCAGTGATCCCCTCACAACACTTGTGTTTTTCCCCTCATCAACTGAGGGTTTTAACACAACACACACACACACACACACACACACACACACACACACACACACACACACACACACACACACACACACACACACTCTCTCACCCTCCCTCCTCTCATTCTCTTCAGGTTCTTCACTATTTCTTTCTCCCACTGCCTCATTCCCCACCTCTTTACCACTAACAATCTCTCTCTCTATTTGTGTGTGCTTTTAACCAGTATCACTATCACCCAGGTGTTAACTGCTAATACCAGGTGTTAACTGCTAATACCAGGTGCTAACCACTACAAGGTGTTTAACATTAATACCAGCTGTTAACCACTAATACCAGCTGTTAACCACTAATACCAGCTGTTAACCACTAATACCAGCTGTTAACCACTAATACCAGCTGTTAACCACTAATACCAGCTGTTAACCATTAATACCAGGTGTTAACTGCTAATACCAGGTGTTAACCACTAATACAAGGTGTTTACCACTACCAGTTGTTAATTCATTACCAGCTGTTAACCACTACCAGCTGTTAACCACTAATACCAGCTGTTAACCACTAATACTCAGCTGTTAACCATCAATACCAGCTGTTAACCACTAATACCAGGTGTTAACCGCTAATACCAGGTGTTAACCACTAATACCAGGTGTTTACCACTAATACCAGCTGTTAACCACTAATATCAGCTGTTAACCACTAATACCAGCTGTTAACCACTAATACCAGCTGTTAACCACTAATACCAGGTGTTAACCACTAATACCAGGTGTTAACCACTAATACCAGCTGTTAACCACTAACACTAATACCAGCTGTTAACCACTAATACCAGCTGTTAACCACTAATACCAGGTGTTAACCACTAATACCAGCTGTTAACCACTATTACCAGCTGTAAACCACTAATACCAGCTGTTAACCACTAATACCAGCTGTTAACCACTAATACCAGCTGTTAACCACTAATACCAGCTGTTAACTAATACCAGCTGTTAACTAATACCAGCTGTTAACAACTAATACCAGCTGTTAACAACTAATACCAGCTGTTAACAACTAATACCAGCTGTTAACAACTAATACCAGCTGTTAACAACTAATACCAGCTGTTAACAACTAATACCAGCTGTTAACAACTAATACCAGCTGTTAACAACTAATACCAGCTGTTAACTACTAATACCAGGTGTTAACCACTAATACCAGCTGTTAACCACTAATACCAGCTGTTAACCACTAATACCAGCTGTTAACCACTAATACCAGCTGTTAACAACTAATACCAGCTGTTAACCACTAATACCAGCTGTTAACCACTAATACCAGCTGTTAACCACTAATACCAGCTGTTAACCACTAATACCAGCTGTTAACCACTAATACCAGCTGTTAACCACTAATATCAACTGTTAACCACTAATACCAGGTGTTAACCATCAATACCAGCTGTTAACCACTAATACCAGCTGTTAACCACTAATACCAGGTGTTAACCACTAATACCAGGTTTAACCACTAATACCAGGTGTTAACCACTAATACCAGCTGTTAACCACTAATACCAGCTGTTAACCACTAACACTAATACCAGCCGTTAACCACTAATACCAGCTGTTAACCACTAAATACCAGGTGTCAACCACTAATACCAGGTGTCAACCACTAATACCAGCTGCAACCATCAATACCAGCTGTTAACCATCAATACCAGCTGTTACCACTAATACCAGCTGTTAACCACTATTACCAGCCAGAACCACTACACCAGCTGTTAACCACTAATACCAGCTGTAACCACTAATACCACTGTTAACCACTAATAACTGCTGTTAACTAATACCAGCTGTTAACTAATACCAGCTGTTAACAACTAATACCAGCTGTTAACAATCAATACCAGCTGTTAACTAATACCAGCTGTTAACAATTAATACCAGCTGTTAACAACTAATACCAGCTGTTAACAACTAATACCAGCTGTTAACAACTAATACCAGCTGTTAACAACTAATACCAGCTGTTAACAACTAATACCAGCTGTTAACAACTAATACCAGCCGTTAACTACTACCAGTGTTAACCACTAATACCAGGTGTTAACCACCAATACCAGCTGTTAACCACTAATACCAGCTGTTAACCACCAATACCAGCTGTTAACCACTACCTTCAGCTGTTAACCACTAATACCAGCTGTTAACCACTAATACCAGCTGTTAACCACTAATACCAGCTGTTAACCACTAATACCAGCTGTTAACCACTAATACCAGCTGTTAACCACTAATACCAGCTGTTAACCACTAATACCAGCTGTTAACCACTAATACCAGCTGTTAACCACTAATACCAGCTGCCCCTTGCCTACGGTACGCATCGTGCAATCAAACAAAATACCCAACCACGCAATTAAATGATGCACGCAGGTTGACGCGATTTATAACCACGCAAATAATAATCTTAACGCAACCACGCACTCAAACATTACATGCAATTACGCACTTATAAGCTGATGCAAGCACGCGGAAAATGGGTACACACATACATGCAAATACAAGGTGTCATACATGCATGTAAATATGCAACGGACCGACACACGCACGCACGCAATCACGTAGAATCGACAGTACTAGTACACACCCAACCACACAAATACCCTAGTAAAACACGCAATGATGCACTCTAAAGAAAGGCAAGCATATCTTAACCTGCGATACACGTAAAAAAACTCAAAATAGAGCACTGATTCACGCAAGCACGCACTCACTTAGCTACTGACACATGAGACTTCTTACTCAAGCAATATAATATACGCACAAACAAGTATTCTGATAATATACACACTTGAATATGGGGACTAAAACAACGCACGCACGCACGCACGCACGCACGCATAAAAAAATAACTTATACAACACACGCTCACACTAAACTATGCACTTAAATATCACGCACACGCACAAAACTATTAATCAACACCCACACACACTCAAACATCCGACGCGCACATGCACACTCAAATATACACAAACCACGCAACACTGATACAGATTTTGGTGATATGTGTGTGTGTGTGTGTGTGTGTGTGTGTGTGTGTGTGTGTGTGTGTGTGTGTGTGTGTGTGTGATGCTCGCGTGATCACCAGCCATGAATATTAATTAACCCACAAAAAAGAGAAATTTACACAGGAATGATATTGACTTGACCAATGTGTGTGTGTGTGTGTGTGTGCTTGCTTACTACGTATGTATGTATGTATGTATGTATGTATGTAAGTGTGGGTGGGTTGGTATCAGTCTCCCACCGTTCCCGCCCATCTCAATACCCACTGGTGACCCTCGACGTAAGCCTTCACGTACCTTCATCCACCCGTAGATGGGCGTGGGCGTGCCTTCGATGGGGCAGATGAGCTTGACGTCCTCCCCAACCCGCACCACCTTCAGTTCTGACTCCTTCTGCGTCGTACGTCTCGGGGCGTCTGGAGGAGGAATGGGAGAACAATTATTACATCGTCAACTGTATTTACTTATTCATATTGACGGGAATATAATAATCACCTGAAGATTAGACACCCCAGCTTATATCACCTGAAGATTAGACACCCCAGCTTATTTCACCTGAAGATTAGACACCCCAGCTTATATCACCTGAAGATTAGACACCCCAGCTTATTTCACCTGAAGATTAGACACCCCAGCTTATTTCACCTGAAGATTAGACACCCAGCTTATATCACCTGAAGATTAGACACCCCAGCTTATTTCACCTGAAGATTAGACACCCCAGCTTATATCACCTGAAGATTAGACACCCCAGCTTATTTCACCTGAAGATTAGACACCCCAGCTTATTTCACCTGGAAGATTAGACACCCCAGCTTATTTCACCTGAAGATTAGACACCCCAGCTTATTTCACCTGAAGATTAGACACCCCAGCTTATTTCACCTGAAGATTAGACACCCCAGCTTATTTCACCTGAAGATTAGACACCCAGCTTATTTCCAACCTGAAGATTAGACACCCCAGCTTATTTCACCTGAAGATTAATTCACTCTAACGCTACCCTCGGTGTTAGGTTAGCGCAGGGTTTTAAGGATTTAGTTAGGTTAGGTTTTGCTAGGTTAGGTTATTAGGTTAGGCTTCTTGCTAGGTTAGGTTAGGTTAGGTTAGGTTAGGAAGAGTTAGGTTAGGTTAGGTTAAAGCGTGTGAGATACGACTGTCGAAATGTTCATGTTAAATTTGTTTAAAAAGAAAGAAAAGAAAGTGGAGTCGGTCGGTACTGGTTAAAACTATCAAAGATGAGCCAATGATCGCGCGAAACAACTGTAAACAAAGGGATTTTTTTCGTTTATTGGCACTTACTTCCTTGTGTAAGGTGAAGCGCAGAAGCGCTTACAGCGCCCAACAGGGAAGTATAAGTCTAAGCTTGCCTTTATGTCTTGGCGGAGCGGCTAGAAGCTCGAAGAGTCAAGGTGTAGAAGCCTGAAGAGTCAAGGGTGAAGCCTGAAGAGTCAAGGGCGTAGAAGCTTCGAAGAGTCAATGGTCTAGGTTCTGCCAGTTATTGAAGTTCCAACAAACTTGTCCCTGAATACGAATTGCAACTTTCGATTTACACCAGGTACCTACTTTAATGCTAGGTGAACAGGGACTAAGGGACCAGGAAGAGTGTCCGAACAATCGCGGCTCGGGAATGAACTTTATGACATCTTGTTGGCGAGGCAAGAGCGGTACTGCATACCAAAGCCTCAAAGGGGAAATGGAGTTGGAACTAAACTGCTGAAATGGGGAGGGGGGATCAGAATGAAAAGTGGGACACTAAAGAGAGGGAAATGAATGAATAAACCTCTGGGGCAAGCGATAACAGGGGAAACGAGGTTGATAAAATTACATAGGAATGCGTCACAAAACAAGGGAGGAGGATAGTGAGGGAATCTCCCCTGACTTGCATCACTATGAGAGGGGGGGTGGAGTAGGGGGGTGGGAGGAGGAGAAGGAGGTATGAGGGTCGGAGGGGAGGCGGAGACAGAGACAATAGACAAAACAGACAGACAGATAGATAAATAGATAGATAGATAGATAATGGTTGCCCTCGTAACAAGGATGCCCCCAAGGCCACCTAGGCGTGAATTTGTTTAAGAAGGTCGCCAACACAACAACCACACCCTAGTTAACGAGTTGCATGACTCAGTGTCAAGGAATAGTCAGAGAAGACGGGACAATTGCCAACTGCACTGGCAACCATTCGGAACACGACGCAAGAAGATTAACATCGGTTTCCTACCACTGCTGAGTAGACAGAGGCAAATATGTAAAGAAACTTGCCTATAAGCTACTGGGACCGAAATATACATACATACATACATACATACATACATGCATACATATACACACACACACACACACACACACACACACACACAGTGGAGGAATAGTGAATTGTACTGTTCATTAAATTATGAAACGCCCAGTCAGAATTCCACTGGTGTATGGGGACGGAGGGGAGGGAGGAGGGTGGGAAGGAGGGCTGGGAAGGGAGGGTTGGGACGGGAGGAGGGAGGCAGGGGGGAAGGAGGAGGGTGGGAAGGGAGGGGAGGCAGGGGAGCGGGGAGGCAGGAGAGAAGTATGTTAGAAGGTAACAAGGAGGGAGAGTAAGGGGAGGGGGAGGAAGAGAGGGAGGAGGTTGGAAGAGAGAGAGAGAGAGAGAGAGAGAGAGAGAGAGAGGCTGGGGAGAGGAGGGAGAGGTTGCAGGAGAGGAGGGAGAGGGCGGGAGAGGAGGGAGAGGCCAGGAGAGGAGGAGGGAGAGGTTGGGGAGAGGAGGAGAGGGGGGAGAGGAGGGAGAGGCTGTGAGAGGAGGGAGAGTTGTGTGGGAGGAGGAGAGGTTGGAGAGGGGAGGGAGAGGTTGGGAGAGAAGGGAGAGGTGGGAGAGAAGGGAGAGGCGGGAGAGGAGGGAGAGTGTTGGGGAGAGAAGGGAGGCAGGGAGAGAGGAGAGGTTAGGGAGAGGAAGGAGAGTAAGGGAGAGGAAGGAGAGGGTGAGAGGAGGGAGAGGCTGGGGAGAAGAGGGAGACTGCTGGGGAGAGGAGGGAGAGGCGGGAGAGGAGGGAGAGGCGGTGGGGAGAGGAGGAGGAGAGGCAGAGAGGAGGGAGAGGCTAGAGAGGAGGAGGAGAGGCTGGGGAGAGGAGGGAGAGGCCGGGAGAGGAGGAGGAGAGGCTGGGAGAGGAGGAGGAGAGGCTGGGGAGAGGAGGGAGAGGTTGTGGGAGAGGGAGGGAGAGGCAGAGAGGAGGGAGAGGCAAGAGGAGGAGGAGAGTGTGTGAGAGGAGGGAGAGGCCAGGAGAAGAGGGAGAGGCCAGAGAGGAGGAGGGAGAGGCTAGAGAGGAGGGGAGAGGCTAGGAGAGGAGGGAGAGGCGGAGAGGAGGGAGAGGCAGGAGAGGAGGGAGAGGTTGGGAGAGGAGGGGAGAGGCAGAGAGGAGGGAGAGGCTGGGGAGAAGAGGGAGAGGTGTGGAGAGAGGGAGGAGGGAGAGGTTGGGGAGAGGAGGAGGGAGAGGCGGGGAGAGGAGGAGAGGCGGGGAGAGGAGGAGGAGAGGTAGGGAGAGGAGGAGGAGAGGTTGAGAGAGAAAGGAGTGTGTTGGGGAGAGGAGGGAGAGGCAGAGGGAGGGAGAGGGAGGGAGAGAAGGAGGGAGGAGGCTGGGGAGAGGAGGAGAGGCTGGGAGAGGGAGGGGGAGGGAGGCAGAGGGAGGAGGAGAGGCTGGGGAGAGGAGGAGAGGAGGAGAGGAGGAGGGAGAGGCAGAGAGGAGGGAGAGGGCAGAGAAGAGGGAGAGGCAGGAGAGGAGGAGGGAGGGTAAGGGGAGAGAGGGAGAGGTTGGGAGAGGAGGAGAGGCCGGGAGAGGAGGGAGAGGCAGGAGGAGGGAGAGGTTGTGGAGAGGAGGGAGAGGCTGTGGAGAGGGGAGGGAGAGGTGAGAGAAGAGGGAGAAGCAGGAGAAGAGGGAGAGGCAGGGAGAGGAGGAGGGAGAGGCTGGGGAGAGGAGGAGAGGTTGGGGAGAGGAGGAGGGAGAGTGTAGTGAGAGGAGGAGGGAGGCAGGAGAGAAGGGAGGGTTGTAAGAGAAGGGAGAGTGCTGTGGAGAGGAGGGAGAGGCAGAGAGGAGGGAGAGTAAGAGGAGAGAATGGGAGAGGTTGGGGAGAGAAGGAGAGAAGGGGAGAGGAGGAGGAGAGGTTGTGAGAGGAGGAGGGAGAGCAAGGAGAGGAGGAGGAGTGTAGTGAGAGGGAGGGAGATGGAGAGAGGAGGAGGGAGAGGTGTTGGGAGAGAAGGGAGAGGAAGAGAGGAGGGAGAAGCAGGAGAGGAGGGAGAGTAGTGGGAGAGGAGGGAGAGTGCAGGGAGAAGAGGGAGGAGAGGTAGGAGAGAGGAGGGAGAGGTTGTGAGAGGAGGAGAGAAGCAGAGAGAAGGGAGAGGTCAGAGAGAAGGAGAGTGTTGTGAGAGAAGGGAGAGTGTTGTGAGAGAAGGGAGAGGTTGTGGGAGAGAAGGGAGAGGTTGTGGGAGAGAAGGAGAGGTTGTGAGAGGAAGGGAGAGGTTGTGAGAGAAGGAGAGACAGAGAGGAGGAGGGAGAGGCAGGAGAGAAGGGAGAGGTTGGGGGAGAGGAGGAGGGAGAGGTTGCGGGAGAGAAGGGAGGGAAGAGGAGGAGGAGAGGCAGAGAGGAAGGAGAGTGTTGTGAGAGGAGGGAGAGCAGGGAGAGGAGGAGAGGGAGGAGAGAAGGGAGAGGCTGTGAGAGGAGGGAGAGGCCAGAGAGGAGGAGGGAGAGGCTAGAGAGGAGGAGGAGAGAAGGTGGAGAGGAGGGAGAGTAGGGAGAGGAGGAGAGGCTAGAGAGGAGGGAGAGGCAGGAGAGGAGGGAGAGGCTAGAGAAGGGAGAGGTTGGGAGAGAAGGAGAGGCCAGGAGAGAGGAGGGAGAGAGCAGAGAGAGGAGGAGAGTAAGTGAGAGAAGGAGAGGCTGGGGAGAGAAGGGAGAGGTTGGGGAGAGAAGGAGAGTGCCAGGAGAGGAGAAGGGAGAGAAGAGAGAAGGAGAGGTTGTGGAGAAGAGGAGAGTAGGCAGAGAGAAGGAGAGGTGGGGGAGAGAAGGAGAGGTCGGGGAGAGAAGGGAGGCTGGGGAGAGGAGGAGGAGAGGCAGAGAGAAGGAGAGGAAAGAGAAGAGGAGGAGAGTGTTGTGGAGAGAAGGAGGGGAGAGGCAGGAGAAGAGGGAGAGCTGAGGAGAGAAGGGAGGGTAAGCAGAGAGGAGGAGGGAAGGGGAGAGGAGGAGAGGGCCAGGAGAGGAGGGAGAGTGTTGAGAGAGGAGGAGAGCAGGGAGAGGAGAGAGTGCCAGGAGAGGAGGAGAATGTTGTGAGAGGAGGGAGAGAGTTGTGGAGAGAAGGAGAGAAGGTGGAGAGAAAGGAGAGGCAGGAGAGAAGGGAGAGTGAGGAGAGGAGAAGGAGAGGCAGAGAGAAGGGAGAGTGT